CTGGGCAACAGAGCAAGAGGAGTCTCAGAAAACAACAACAACAACAACAACAAAACACACACACACAGAAAAAACAGAAACTTCCTTCTCACAGAGAGTCTGGGACGTCTGGGATCAGGATGCTGGGGGATTCCATGTCTGATGAGGGCCTGCCTGCTTCCTGGTTCTAGATGGTCTTTTTGCTGAGTCCTCACATGGTGGAAGGGGCCAGGGAGCTTTCTGGGGCTTCTTCCTTATAAAGGGCACTAATCCCATTCATGAAGTCTCTGTCCTCATGACTTAATCACTTCCCAAAGGCCCCCACCTCCTACCACCATCACATTGCAGATTAGGTTTCAACAGAGGAATTTTGGGGGGACACATGTTCAGTCTGTATTGCCGCCGTAGGTCTGGTACTGGCATATTGGAGGCAGTGGGTGTTTTTCCATTATTTGAGGTATAACAAGATGAAGGTCCAGGTTTGTTTTTGTTGGTACCAGGTAGGCTCACCTTTGGCTATACTTCTGGTATTTATTAGCAAAGGAACTGACAGCCAGTCTTCACTCCAACCACTTGAATGCAGCAGTGGGACAGTGCCAGTGACTGGCCCAGTATGAGAGATGCCTCCTGGGAGGTCCAGGCAGTGAAGTGGGAGGCAGTATAGGAACTCGCTTATGCAGCAGTTTACCCTCTAACACCAGGTCAGAGATCCTCAACATGGCTCTTCTCCAGAATCACCCATGGAGTTAGAAATGCAGATGACCAGGCTTCCCCCCAGATTTTGGATTCAGTATCTAGGGTGGGATCTGGATAGCTCCATATTTAAGAAGCGCCACCGGAGTTTCTGACACTCAGCCAGGGCTCAATGCTGCTTAGGAGGTGCTGGGCCCTGCAAAAGGAATGAACCCCATTCTCCTCCCCCAGCCCCACCCAGGTAGGGAGAGAAAAAGGGAAACAAGCATGTGTAAAAATAGGCACAGAGAAGAGCTGGTCTGGAGAAATCGGGGAGGATTTTCCAAACAGCACACCTTGACATAGGAGTCCCCAGGTGGAGCTTCTGCCCCAGGAGTGGCCGTTGATGGTAGCTACTGTAGAGAGGCCTGAGAGTGGCAGGTGACAGAAGAAGCCCAAAGACCTTGGGGAGGATCTCCAGTGCTGTACTGGGGAGGGCCGTCTGTTCACTTTGAAGCCATTGTAGGCCAACAGAGGAACCCAAGAAAGAGACCAGGGCCTGTTTATGGAGTTTCATTCATTTCCAATTAAAAATATATATTTTATTTTAAATTCAGGAAGTGCATGTACATGTTTGTTCCATGGATTATATTGCATACTGGTGAGGATTAGGCTTCTAGTGTACCCCTTACTCAAACAGTGAACCCTGAACCCATCATTTCCAATTTCATTGGTTTCTGTATTTGATATTTTTGCTATTGCAACTTTATATTTCTTTCCTACCAAGTCTTTGTGTTTTCTGTTTTCCTCTAGCTCTAAGCCAGACCCACATGTTTGCTCTCTTGGTCCTAGCCCAGTAGATGGTGTCTGCCTTCCTTAAAGACACTCTTTGTTAGTCATTGAGCCTCTCCAAACCTACTTCTCCCACTGTGAAGTGGGCATAGTAAGTACTTCTCAGGGTGCTGAGAGGGCTGAGTGAGAACAAGGATGGGGATGGGCCTTGGAAACTAAAGTTACTCTTCGGATGAGTGGGATTATATTTGGTGGATGTTTATTTTATTTGACTGGCATTGTTGGGAAGTTATTGTCCATGTTGGTGTCTCAAGACAGGTGGTCTAGGAAGCGAAACAGTCTTAGCTAGTGATAAAACTTGCCAGCCCCTCCCTCTTAATTTTGCTTAAAATGCAAAGTTAAAAGCCATCATGAAACCAGAAAAGCAGTCATCATGTAAGCATAATTATTTACTCAGGCACAGGCAAGGAACTGCTTTCTGATTCTCCAGGACCTCCTCTGTCCCCAGTGTTACCACAGTTCCACTTTCATAGACTGCTGTTGATATCCAGATCCACTTAATATTGATTGCAATTTGTATTTACAGGCTTAATGCCAGACCGGGGGTTGGAGGTGTCCGATCTCGAGTTGGGATCCAGCAAGGCCTTCTCAGCCAGTCAACACGCACAGCCACCTTCCAGCAGAGATTTGATGCCCGGCAAAAGATTGGCCTCTCAGATGCCCGGCTCAAACTGGGAGTCAAGGATGCCCGGGAGAAGCTTTTGCAGAAAGATGCCCGATTTCGGATCAAAGGGAAAGTGCAGGATGCCAGAGAGATGTTGAACTCTCGAAAGCAGCAGACCACGGCGCCCCAGAAGCCCCGCCAGGTCGCTGATGCCCGGGAGAAGATTAGCTTGAAGAGGAGTTCCCCTGCTGCCTTCATAAACCCACCTATTGGGACAGTGACCCCTGCTCTGAAACTCACCAAAACCATCCAGGTAAGTTGTGGCTTTTGTCATGAATTCCCAGAAAGCTAGTAACAAAGGTAGATTTAGAGGCAAGGTGCCAGGAGTGATTGGGCAAAACTACTATCCTCTCAAGTGTTGGTATAGCACTTTGCTCCTTACAGAGGCTTTAAGTACGTTATAGCCAAGGAACTATACAAGGAAGGAAGGGTATTATCTCAGTTCTGTACAAAAGAAAGAGGAGGCCCATAGAAATTTAGTGACTTTCCCAAGTGAGATACTGGTGGAAGAGAGAGGAAAGGACAAAAGATTTATTGAGCACATGCCATGTGGCAAGCACTTAACATACATGATCTTACAGTCCTCACTCCACCCCCAGGCCCAGTGGGACTGGCCACCCTTCACAGCTGCCACCACAGAGGGAAAGGAAACAATGTCGTTTAACCTTCATAGCAGCTTTGGTAATAGGAACAGCAGCGGCCGCAGCAAACATTTACTGAGCCAAGTCCGTTAAGCCCTACATGTGCATTACCATGTGGTCTCTGGGTTGATGATGATTCTTTTACTTCCTACTGTGGGGGATAAGGCCCTCTGTAGTGCCTTTTACCAAAGACCAAAGCTGCATGCGCACCATATATCAAGTTCAGTAACCCCCTCCTTCTAGAGAATGCATGTGGACCCTGTGGGGTGAATTCTGACCACTGAGTGTTTCCAGGTTCCACAGCAGAAAGCCATGGCACCACTTCATCCCCATCCTGCTGGAATGAGAATCAATGTTGTCAATAACCACCAGGCCAAACAGGTAGAGTGAGTGAGAGAGAGAGTGTGTGTGTACATAGTGAACATGTAGGCGTGCACATGTTTTTTAATGAGGCCTACTTGGGTGCATGGACTGAGGCTTGCTCCCAAGGTTCCCAGTTGGTAGTACTGGAGGCAGGGTTACAGTGAACTTTTTGCAATTTAAAGAAGAAACTTCTTTTTTTTTTTTTGAGACGGAGTCTCGCTCTGTCGCCAGGCTGGAGTGCAGTGGCGTAATCTCGGCTCACTACAACCTCTGCCTCCCGGGTTCAATTGATCCTCCTGCCTCAGCCTCCTGAGTATCTGGGACTACAGGCGTGCACCACCACACCCCACTAATTTTTGTATTTTTAGTAGAGATGGGGTTTCACAGTGTTCACCAGGCTGGTCTCAATCTCTTGACCTTGTGATCCACCCACCTCAGCTTCCCAGAGTGCTGGGATTACAGGCATAAGCCACTGCACCCAGCCAAGAAGCGACTTCTTAATAGATTCTTAATAGAGGAAGGGAGGCATAGGGGACAGAGAGGCTAATAAAATTTTTGTTGTTGTTGTTAATTTTTTTTTAAATAAAAGTTCTATGTGCTTAATATAGAAAACTTGCCAAAAAGTCCCTCAAGTTCCTATTATCCAAAGCCAATCACTGTTGAAATTTTGCCATAGTTCCTTACATGTCCCCCCACCCCCCGCTTTTTTTTTTTTTTTTTTGGAGACAGGGTCTCACTCTGTCCCCCAGGGTGGAGTGCAGTGGTGCAGTCATGGCTCACTGCAGCCTTGACTTTCTGGGCTCAAATGATCCTCCCACCTCAGCCTCCTGAGTAGCTGGGATCACAGGTGCATACCACCACATCTGGCTAATTTTTGTAGAGATAGGGTCTTGCCATGGTGCCCAGGCTGGTCTCCAACTCCTGGGTTCAGTCGATCCTCCTGCCTCGGCCTCCCAAAGTGCTGGGGTTACAGGCACAGGTGTGAGCCACCATGCCCAGCCTGTTTTTTTGTTTTTTGTTTTTTTGAGACGGAGTTTCGCTCTTGTTGCCCAGGCTGGAGTACAGTGGCGCAATCTCAGCTCACCACAACCTCCAGGCCTCCTGGGTTCGAGTGATTCTCCTGCCTCTGCCTCCCAAGTAGCTGGGATTCCAGGCATGTGCCACCACGCCTGGCTAATTTTGTATTTTTAGTAGAGATGGGGTTTCTCCATGTTGGTCAGGCTGGTCTCAAACTCCTGACCTCAGGTAATCTGCCTGCCTTGGCCTCCCAAAGTGCTGGGATTACAGGTGTGAGCCACCGTGCCCAGCCCCAGTCTGTTTTTTACTTAACTCATAGTTGTGGTTGTGGTTCTTTTCTTTTCTTTTTTTTTTTTTTTGAGGCCGAGTCTCGCTCTGTCACCCAGGCTAGAGTGCAGTGGCGCCATCTCGACTCACTGCAAGCTCTGCCTCACAGGTTCACGCCATTCTCCTGCCTCAGCCTCCTGAGAGCTGGGACTACAGGTGCCCACCACCGCGCCTGGCTAATTTTTTTTTTTTAATTTTTAGTAGAGACGGGGTTTCACCGTGTTAGCCAGGATGGTCTCGATCTGCTGACCTCGTGATCCGCTCTCCTCGGCCTCCCAAAGTGCTGGGATTACAGGCGTGAGCCACTGCGCCCAACCATGGTTATATTCTTAGCCAATTTTCTATCATTCTTTTTTCACTTTGTAACTCAAGCATTTTTCTGCGACATTTCACATTTACTGCAAACGTTTTAGTAATTACAAAATCCATATAGTTGGCATTCCAGTTTTATTTAAACCATTTTCCTGTCATTTTCACTGTTAGAAATCCTTCTGCTATGAACATCTTTGTAGATAAAGTTCTTACTAGGGTTTGGATTTATTTCTGTAGGTCATATTAACAAGGATGGACTTTCCAAGCCAAAGGATATAAAGGAACATTTTAGGAACTCTTCGTAGATACTGCCCACTGGGAAAAAGGGACTTCTGATGTATCTGGAAGTTGTAGGACTTTCACTGGGCCCTTGTTGACAGGGAGTTCGCCTGTCAGGACTTGTGCCCCAGTCTTTCCCGGCACCATCACCCCTGTGCCCACTTCTACTTTGGTCCCTTTCTCTCTCCAGCAGCCATTTCCTTGCCATGCCTGTTCTAGATGTCTGTTGAGGGCACACATGCCACATTTGCTTATATTTCTTTATGTTATATTCTCAGAATTTATATGACCTGGATGAAGATGATGATGGTATAGCTTCCGTTCCTACTAAACAGATGAAGTTTGCAGCCTCCGGCGGCTTTCTTCACCACATGGTATGGCATTTCATGTTTTCTTACGCTGCATGTCTGATCAGACAGGTGGGAGAGGTTGTGGTGAATAGAGCCTGTTTTTTTTTTGTTTTTTTGAGACGAAGTCTTGCTCTTGTCCCCAAGGCTGCTGGAGGGCAGTGGCACAATCTCAGCTCACTGCAACCTCCGCCTCCCGGGTTCAAGCTATTCTCCTGCCTCAGCCTCCCTAGTAACTGGGATTACAAGCGCCTGCCATCACGCCCAGCTAATTTTTGTATTTTTAGTAGAGATGAGGTTTCACCATGTTGGCCAGGCTGGTCTGGAACTCCTGACCTCAAGTGATCTGCCTGCGTCAGCCTCCCAAAGTACTGGGATTACAGGGTGAGCCACTGTGCCCCGTGTGAATAGAGCCTTTCAATGCAGAAATATTTCTTCCTTTGGGCCGTAAGATTTTCAGAGCTGGAGTTAGTCCAACCCCTTAGTTTTATAAATGCTGAGACACTGGGGTGCCTCCTGATTTGTTCAAGGTCCCACAGCAAGTGAAGTGTAGGACTGCAGCTCCCAGGTGCTGTGTTTGAGACACTATAGGGAAAATGTGAGTGATCCCACAGTGGGGAGTCTGTGTTCTTTCCTTGGTGGCTGGTCATTCTGCATGCTCTGTGACCCTCTATGGTCAGCAGCTCAGGCGCTGCTCTTGGAGTCTGGATTCCCTTGGTTGACATTAGCAGGAATACATCTCACCTGATCTGTGGGCTCTGCCAGGTGCAGCCTGCATGCAGGGAAAGCTTGCTGGGCTAGAGTGTTGATCAGACATCATGCAGAGAAGGAAAGAAAACAGCATCTGGGAGCATCAGGGAGGTCCATGCTGGTCAGCTCAGTAGTACAGCCAAGTGTCAGACAGGGAGGCCAGTGGGCTGCCCAGGTGGGTCCTTATGGCAGACACCTCTTTTGTTTTTCCTTCAGAAGCTGAAAGACTCAGTTTTGGTTACTGTCTCGAGTATGTGGACCAGACTCCTGGTTAGTAATTAAGAGAAACATGGGCCGAGCGCAGTGGCTCACGCATGTAATCCCAGCACTTTGGGAGGCAGAGGTGGGCAGATCACAAGGTCAGGAGACCAAGACCATCCTGGCTAACACAATGAAACCCCGTCTCTACTAAAAAACACAAAAAAATTATCCGGGCATGGTGGTGGGCACCTGTAGTCCCAGCTACTCGGAAGGCTGAGGCAGGAGAATGGCGTGAACCTGGGAGGCAGAGCTTGCAGTGAGCCGATATCACGCCACAGCACTCCAGCCTGGGTGGCAGAGCGAGACTCCATCTGGAAAAAAAAAAAAAAGGAGAAACATGAAGCTGGCTATGCGCGGTGGCTCACGCCTGTAATCCGAGCACTTTGGGAGGCCGAGGTGGGTAGATTACCTGAGGTCAGGAGTTCGAGACCAGCCTGGCAACATGGTGAAACGCTGTCTCTACTAAAAATACAAAAATTAGTTGGACATGGTGCCGCGTGCCTGTAATCCCAGCTACTCGGGAGGCTGAGGCAGGAGAATTGTTTGAACCCTGAGATGGAGGTTGCAGTGAGCCAAGATTGCACCACTGCACTCCAGCCTGGGTGACAGGGTGAGACTCCGTGTCAAAAAAAAAAAAAAAGATACGTCGTGAAGCTGAATGATGCCAGTTTGTTTCTTTACAAAGGGACCAGGCCTTTCCAGTAATTAGACTGCTCAAGTCTGCTATCAAGGGAACTATCACCTTGCTCAGTGAGTCTCTATCCCTATTTGATACCCTAATTGAATAAATGCCATATTTATTCTAATGCGTTTTGTACCCTGTGAGATGGGTACTGTTGATTACCCTCGTTTATGGATGAGGAAGCAGGCATGGAGAGGTAAAATAAGCCTGTTCAACATCACCCAGCTGATAAGAAGCAGTGGATCTAGGAATGGAGCCTGAGCAGTCTGGTTCTCGGGGCCCTGTGTGTAGTCACTGTGCTGTCCTGGCTCTGGAGACTCAGAAAGCCGCCTGAGGAATGTGGAATCCAGCCTGGGGTGACGCTGCTTCTCCCAGACTTGGAGAAGTGTGGTGAATTGCCCCTGCCCATTCTCTGATCTGCCTTTCTGGCTGCTGCGTTCCTCCCTTCTCCCTGGGTCAGTGCCTTTAAACACTGCCTTAAATCAGCAGGGTTCCCGTCACTTCTGCTTTATGCACCTTTTTCCTCAGACACAATATAGGAGAGTTTTGTTTCCAAGGGACCATATCGAGATGGGAGGGGCTGTTTTTGGTAATCTGCGCTGCCGAATGCCCGTGTGTCCCTGACTGTCCAGGAGCTGATGAGGCCAAGGCTGTGAGTGGTTCCTCTGGATGGCCAGAAGAGGAACCAAAAAGCTGAGTTCTGGGCCTTCTTAAGTGTGGTGATCAGCACACTGTGATAGAAGCATATCTGGGAATGAACTTGGCCTCAACCTTTTGGCCTTTTAATTTTTCAGCTTTATTAAGAAAACAAAGGAATAAAATCATGGCTACTCCATAGGCATAGCGGCTCTTTTACATTTTTTGTATAGATGAGGTTTCACTGTGTTGCCCAGGTTGGTCTTGAACTTCTGGCCTCAAGCAATCCTCTCACCTCAGCCTCCCAAAGTGCTGGGATGACAGGTGTGATCCACTATGCCTGGCCAAGCTTTTGGCCTTCTGACCAGCCTCATTATTGTAGAATTTTTAGAAAGTCTACGTGGTATGGGTGAGTCTGTGGCTCTTAGGTAATTTTCCAGGTCAGGGCTGTATGGAAGCTTCCTGCCAAGAGCTTCTAGCACTGTGGAGAGTGGCTTCTGTGAGTGCACGCTCAGGCTGTGTGTTTTTTCCTCCCCCTGCCCCTTCACTATGGGATGTCACTGGCAGCCGGCAGCTTTTTTGGCTCCAGACCTCTAATAGAATTGGAGAGCTGGGAGGCGTAGAGGGTTCATGCTCTCAGCAAGTTGTCAGCCCCTTGGGGCTTCTTCAGAACATTCCAGGTCTGGCTTCTCAGATTCTTTTCTGTCTCTCTGTTTAGGCTGGGCTAAGTAGTTCCAAGCTTTCCACGTCCAAGGCCCTCCCTCTTACCAAAGTGGTTCAGAATGACGCATACACAGCTCCTGCTCTCCCTTCCTCTGTTCGAACAAAAGCCTTGACCAACATGTCCCGGACACTGGTGAACAAGGAAGAACCCCCCAAAGAGCTTCCACCTGCTGAGGTGAGGTGACGGTGGTGACCACAGCAGTTGGGGTCAGGAGGGCTGTATGCTTATATGTATCTCATTGTGTCCCCACAACGCCTTTGTGAGGTGGGCATTGCCACCCCCATTCTACAGATGAGCAAACCAAGACCTAGGGACTCTTACTCTCGAAGACCTTGCAGGCTGCTGGGGACAGCAGACCTGCTGAGAGGTTACGGTATCTGGTGATATGTTAGACTCTCCCAGAAGAAAGCTGTTAGGAGTGCTGAGGACAGAGCATCTCATTCCAGTTGGGAAATCTGGGAAAAAGGGCTCTTTTAGCTGAGTGGGTCTGGAAGCATGAGCAGCCTTCCAGGTAGAGGCTCAGGGCCTGAGAGGCTTGCGTATTTGGGAGATGGAAAAGGGTCCATGCTTTTAGCATAGAGTGGTGGGGGGTGTAGTGGACACTGAAGTTCAGGGGGCCCAGTTGTGGTAACTCTCCATGGAGCTTTCCTCTGGGCCTTCCTAGTCACGTGCCTGGAGGAATTTCTGTTGTGGAAATGCTTATCAGCTATCCAGCTTCTGGTAACGCTCTTGTCTGTGACAGCCTGTTCTCAGTCCATTGGAAGGCACCAAGATGACTGTGAATAATCTGCACCCTCGGGTCACGGAGGAGGACATTGTTGTAAGTACTGTGACCTACCAAACATTTAAATCTCAAACCGCCTCTGTGGCAAATGTCTCTTAAGACCCACCCTCAGGTTTGATGACTGCTAGGACTCACCAGACTCAGCATATAGTCACACTCAGGGCTGAGACTAATGACAGCAAAAGGATGCAGAGCAAATGGTTCATGGGGTGAAGCTGGGGGGAAACCAGGCACAAGCCTCCAGAGGCCCCTCCCAGCAGAGTTGCACAGGATGCTGGGTGCAACTCGCAGCAAGTTGTGACAACACATGTGACACCAGGGAAGTTCATTAAAGACTCGGTGCCCAAAGGTTTTATTGGGGACTGGTCACTTCGGCATTCTTTGTGTAGCACGTACCAAAATTCCAGACTCCCAGAAGAAAAGCAGCTGTTGAGTAGAAACCATGTTGTTTGCACAGTCCAGGCACAGTGAACTGTGGGGTGGCAGGAGCCCTCCTGAGATCCGAGTTCCCAGATGCCAGCCAAGGGCCACCCCTGGAATCGGGCCTTTCAAACAGTAGCAGTCAGCCCAGCTGCTTCACTCTTCTGTGCAGCTTCTAACCAAGGCCAGGTGCCTGGCCTGAATGTCAGAGTCAGGGGATATCTGTGATGTAATGGGTCCTAAATGGGATCCTTTAGTCCCACTGGGCGATATCCAGTAGTTGTGTTTTCCTGTGAGTCTTTGGAACGTTCTATGTCCTTTGGAGGTTTTACAAGATGATTCCAAAGTGAAAGAGGTGAGATGGACTGGTGGTATCCACCTTCCTGGTCCATCCTGTCCCACCCATGGCAGTCATGGGCAAAACCTGTCAAGTGCCTGTGAGTGGGGTTCTGGATGCAGCTAGGACTTTTTTTCAACATCATTTTCATTCAGGCAGCCAAAAGAGCCATTAGTTTAGAAATCCAGGCATCCTTTGAACTATCAGATCACAAAATGAATACAGTTGGAGAATCCAGCCTCTCCCTGCAGTTGAGTCCCAGACTAACAGACTGCACTGGTCACTACATTTGTTAAAATCTTTTTGTTTCGTTTTGTTTTGTTTTGTTTTGTTTTTGAGATAGAGTCTCACTGTCACCTAAGCTAGAGTGTAATGGCGTGATCTCGGCTCACTGCAACCTCTGCCTCCCAGGCTCAAGCAATTTTCCTGCCTCAGCCTCCCAAGTAACTGGGATTAGAGGCGCCTGCCACTACACCTGGCTAATTTTTGTATTTTTAGTAGAGACAGGGTTTCACCATGTTGGCCAGGGTGGTCTTGAACTCCTGACCTCAAATGATCTGCCCGCCTTGGGTTTTTTTTGTTTTGTTTTGTTTTTTTGTTTGTTTTTTAAGACGAGTCTTGCTCTGTGGCACAGGCTGGAGTGCAGTGGTGCAATCTTGGCTCACTGCAACTTCCGCTTCCTGGGTTCAAGCAATTCTCATGCCTCAGCCTCTCTGGTAGCTGGGATTACAGGCGCGTGCCACCACACCCAGCTAATTTTTGTATTTTTCAGTAGAGACGGGGTTTCACCATGTTTGCTATGCTGGTCTTGAACTCCTGACCTTATGATCTGCCTGCCTTGGCCTCCCAAAGTGCTGGTATTAAAGGTGTGAGCCACTGTGCCCAGCCCAGCTGAGGTTAAACCTTTTTTTTTTTTTTTTT